ATAGCACAGAACTGGTGACAATATTCCTACGTTTAGTCATGAACATCCATACATACACATGTTTGCATGCAATAGACTTGGCCATTGGCACTCACTTGACTTGACTTTAGCGCATGCGTGGTCGTCTGCATGCGTGCAAAGTGCGTATATGTATATGTATATGTATGTTTGTATAGCATATTTTCATGAATGCTGCGCGCATTCTTCACTGCAACTAATCTAGATTGTGTGCTGCTCACCGTTGATTATGCTTTATGCAAATACGATCGCTCGTTGGCAGTCATACAACATCATCTCCATGCTGTCACGCATTCAATTAGTGAAAACTGCATTTTAAATATTTTATCGTCAGCGTTTATCGCTGCCGGAGGTGTGGCACATTGCTGCTTTGATTAATTTAATTTTAATAGCTATGTAGAGTAATAATTTACGCACACTCATAAATGTACACATGAGTGTATATAAATGTGTAGTTGTAACCTGATTTCAACTGCAAAATACATATACATATTATCTTCATAAAGTTTGCCCTTTGGTTGATTAAAGTGATTAGTGAAGTGAGATTTAGGTACTTTGAACAAAGCTAATAAGTTTGTGTAAAATGTTACTATACAATTGACTAAATTTTGACTGGACTGACTGCAAAAAATATATTTGTCTAATAAGAATGTTCTAAAACTAACAGTGGAACCTACCAGAAACCTGTTGTAGCCTTAAAATTAAATTTTTGCTTTCGCTTCCTTCAGTAATTATACTGAAAAGTCGGAAATACTGTAAGGCGCCACCGCGTATAAATCCAATAAATTTGTTTTTTTTTTACATTTCAACCTGTTTTGGCGGATTATTTTTTGGCGCATTTCCAGTTTTTTACACTTTCTTTCACTTTGGCCAAAGTCTGCTGCAAAGTGAAGAATATTTTTCTTCTTCCTCTTCTTGATTGGTGCTGTAAGTATAAGCAATTCTGCCCGAGTCCAATAAAACACGTCAATACTTGCTCTTCGGTGCCAACTGACACAAATTGTAAACGCAAAGTGACGCCAAGTCTGCCCCACCTGTGGTTCGGAGTCGATGTTTGGGCGTGCGTACGTCTAAAATACGTGCCTATCACAACATGATCGATTTGGTTTCTAGTTTTTCGATCCGGAGACAGCCACGTTGCTTGATGGATCTTTTTACGCAGGAACCTAGAACTACATAATACCACGTTTCGGGCCCGTTGAAGTCGATCAGCTTTAGTCCTACACCGGAAGTTTCGTAAGGGAGGCTGAATTTTCCGACTGTGGCGACAAAGACTCCTTCCTTTCCCATCTTGGCATTGAAGCCGCAAAGCACAGTTTTAATATCATGGTGGGGTCTGTGCTAATATGTACGCTCCAAGAGCTCATAGAAGAGGTCCTTGGACCTCTCGTCCTTCTCTTCGGTCGAGGCATGGGCGCAGTTGAGCGAAATGCTGAAGAAACGGCGACGGAGTCACGTTCTCACCAAAAACCCAACGACGAAATTGCGCTCCTTTACGTTGCAACTGTAGCCGACGTCGCAAGACTCTCCACTTACCTTGCCTTTCCTAGTCCATAGCATTTACTGGATGACCGTGACGTCAGTCTTTATCACCCAGCCGGACCAAACAACCTTCCCAATTAAAGGCCCGGATATTTCCGGTGTATACTCTCAAATTATAGTTCTTAACCGACTTCAAAAACAGGAGTTACCGCATAAATTGTATCCACATAAACCGATTTCATTAATTTTTTAAAAGAAAGGTGGTACCTCAGAGGTGGTCCCATACTAATACGGTACCCATACGAGTGAGTACCGTGGTCGTCATCAATAAAAGGGGGTCTCATCCGAGGCTTGTTTGTCCTATTGATTGGACGGGGTTTCAACTTGGCAAGACCCAATGGTAATATTTTTCTTTATCAAATTTGGTAATGTGGTATTCAATTTGGTAATTTTTTCGTTTTGCTCCTACATATTTGTTCAGTTGAGTAGATTCTTCCCGCCCATAGGTACTATTTGAGAGGCTAATTGTAAAAGGAGGAATACTTATATCTACATGTAAGAAGCCTTTAAGTCTTTGTTGCGGCAGCTTAACCAAATCGAGGACTTGACTTTCAACTACGCTAGCAGCCGGCCAGTTTGCGTTGGTACTTCATGCTGTAAGGACCTTGCAAAAAATACAACTAATCTGGGATGACTCTGGGAGTAATCGCAAAGGAACATACGACTAATACCACTTTTGATCTCTTTATATGGAATAAACTGTTCGCTTTAGTTCGAGCATGTCCTATGAAGAGACTAATTGTTTTTCACTTTTAAAAAATAAAAATAAAAATTTGTCCAGCTGCGATTCGGGGGACTAATTGATCTCCAATTATGCCCATAAGGGATGAGTCGAAACTAATTGATCTCTATTAGTACCCGTATGAAACTAGTTGCGAATAATTAATGCCCAATTGTATCCGATTGAGAGTAATCTCGGTATACTCTCTTTCGAGATTAGTCGCATTTTTTTGCAGGGCATCACGCGCGCGAGCTGTTTTGCTGAGTATACACATATATGTAGATACAAAAATATTGCGCTTTTATTAGGAGCTCTGCCCACGCTGTGCACCACTGGTATACATAAATGCTCAGAATGAATAGAGAAGGCGATTAAGCCATTTCTATCCATCCGTCTGTATGTCCGTCCGTGCGTCTGTCCGTGTACATGCTAACTCGAGCAAAAATTGAGATATCTCAACAAAATTTGGTATGCGGGTTTCCATTTACCCAAGGTAGGTTGGTATGGCAAATGGGCGATATCGGACTGTAACCACACCCACTTACCATATATGGATATTTTCAAAAAAATGCAAAAACTACGATATTTCAGTAAATATTGGATACAAATTGATTAGCATGTGAAGCAGAGTTTTGGCGAAAAGTGGGCGTGATCCCGCCCACTTATGATGAAATGATGTATCTCAGTAGCCGCTTCACCAATCCTTACCTAACTCGGTACGAACCATGCGTAAGGCCTAGCTAAGGCATCTGTTGAAATTGGGAAATAACCACGCCCACCTCCCATATAACGGTAATTTACACTTATAACCACAAAATCGGTACACTTATTAACCTTAGTATGGAAAAGAAATTCGTGAAAAATTATTCAAATCGGACTTTAAATTACACCCGCTTCCAGTATAACGGTAAGTTTCAGAAATATGAAAACTCCGATATTTCAATAACTGAGGACGCTAATTTACTCAAAAGTTAATAACTACATCGATCCCTTAACAATAAATAAATATGAAGGCATTTAAACTATCCATAAATTTGCATCAGTACTTTTATAAACGGCAAAATTATTTCCTTTTTATTGGCTTTGTTTTAATTTGTGCCAAATAATTTTGGTATGGTTGAAATCAACGCAAAAAGTTGTATCGAACCTTATTTTTTTGTAGCTAAATGGTTGGTATTCTAGCCTTGTTGTCAATCGCCACGACTATTTCGGACAATATTTCTAAATCCTGGAGTATGGAAACAGGCTGAACGTGAAAAAGTAAATTAAATACAATACAATCAATCAATCAGTCAATGAAATTAAAATCTGAGCCTCTTAAACACCTCAATGAGAACACTTGACAGTTGTTCATAAACACAAAACATTAAACTCAAATTCATGGCTCAACGTGAACATACTATTAGCTGCAGGACTTAAGTGGGATAAACTGCAGTCAATTCTGAATTAATGAGTTGATCTGGATCAACGCTGCCCGCCGTTCACGCATCGGGCCAAATGTACAATGGTTTTTTCAACCAAGTTATGGTTTGATTTTTTTATGGTAATTATATTAAATTGTAAGAAATGTGTTTAAAGTTGAACATTCGAAAACTCATTTGTATGGGCGCGGTTACCCACCAACGTGTACGTAGCGTAGCGAAGAAGTACGTAGAAACATATTAAGTTTATTATTGATAGAAAGAGAGAGAAGCAACGTCTAAGTCTCACGGTCATGCGGTGGTGAGTTTTTGTAAACACGCAGATTTAATGAGATGGATCATGTCAGCTGACGCGTTCTCCATTTTTACGTCCGTGGGTAACTGCACTTTATGTCTTTTAGCTGAACGTGCAGAGATATCTGCTGTTATTGGTTAGCTTCCCAAGTTCGGCTCGAATGCCGTCAGCGGCAATACATCAGTTTTATTTTTTTTTCTGGTTTGTTTGTTTTAATTACGAAAAAGTATCTGTGAAGTAAAGAACTAAATAAAACGACGAAGAAAATTTCGTTCCGACGACAGTCGGGTCTACGTAATCGGAAAGATCCAGACTTATATCTGGCCAAGAACTGTCAGCAACAGCAACACTCCCCAAAAACTTTTGGGGGGAATCTGTATGCTGCTACAACAACAACAACGAAGAAAATTTATTCAAGTTTTTATTTGAGGGAACATTTACAGAACGGCTGTAGCTGAGTGCGCAGAGATGTTTGCTGTCATTTGGTAACTTTCAGAAGCTTTGGATTCGAATCCTGTGATAGGCTACGCATTAAAATGATAATACACATTTTTTTGTTTTTATATCCGAATTATGAAAAGCATTAAGCGACCAAATCGACAACCCAAAAATTTATTTAATTTAAACAAAAGTGTGGTTAATATTACCATGAAAATATCAACCACAGCGTTGTTAGCATTAAAAAAAAAAAACAAAGGTAACTTTGTTTCCTTTTCTAGTTTGAATTTGGTAATTTTAACAAATTTTTGGTTGATTTTTCTTTTTTTTTGCCAGTGCGCTTTAGATTCAGCTCAATACAGTTCCTCCAATTTATGTTCCTTTTTAGATTAGAGAGAGCTTTACACCTCTAGGCAATGAGAGGTAAATTTTTCCAATTTTATGTATGTATTACCTTTCCTTATTAAATTTTGCTTGGTTACAAACATGTTTCGGAGTTTCCCCACTCACTTGAACTTGAATATATTAAAATAATGCACTTTTTAATAATAAACGACACTAAATATTAAATTTATATAAATATGTATTTCACTTTATTGGTTTCATAGACTTAATCAGTACAATTCGTATAAAAAAGACTAAAGCTAAATATTATATTTAATCAATGCTTTCGTTAAATATTTTAATATTAATAATATTTTTAAGCAATTCAACTAAGCAATTTCACAAAAAATCAAATGGATCCATTTAAGTTATTGCAACGTTGTATAGACTTTTGATTCTTTTAATTGTGTATTTTGCTTTTTTATTACTACTTCTTCTCCAATCTATTATCTAAGCTTCACAAAGTGCAGTTTTACGTTGACTTTGCTAAAATAATAATAATAATAATCGTTTAAAAATATCTAACTACAGAGCACCACCTTATGCATTCACGGTGTTCAGGTGTTCATTCTGAGCGTGTATATGTCTTTGTGCTGGAGCGTTTGAATAAATAGTAAACAAAAAATAAAGTGTAGTACTTTTTTTCGTCTTAAGTAGTTCATACAGTCGTGAAAAAATAGGTCTATATAAATATGTAAATAAATAAATAGTTTTAGAAGTTATGTTTATGAGCTGTAAAAATTCTTTTAGGCAAATTTATTATCATATTTGGAGCCAACGGATATGCATTGGCATGACATGTATTTTTTTGTGTTACCTGTTGAATTACCTATGTATTTTGATACAAAATTACTTAGGAAATTTGCATACTTGTCATCGTTTGCTCTTATGTATGTATGTATGTAGTTGAGTGTATTTTCTGCTATTGTTGTTAGAGCGCATTGTGCATTCAAATTTGTAAGTGCAGTGAAAGCATTAGTTCTTAACTTCGCTTTGCGCCTTAATTAGTTTGTCTTCTAGGTTTTTCCATGTTAATAACGGGACTTTTTAACATGGCATTATTTTAGGAGATGCCAGTTGTCAGGCTTTGCAACAGTATCGAACAGTTGACATACTAGTAAGCCTTCGTCATAGCTTAAGCCACTTTTTTAAATAGTTTCCCTGTATCCTCAGCTAATGAAATACAATTTTTATTTTGTTCACGCTGCTAAAAAAGTCACAAGGGTCGGCGGTGTATTGCAGCGAAGCATGGCTCTGAGCAAACTCGAGCCAGGAATCTCAGAAACAAAGCAGAAGTCTTCCCGATAAGTCATTGTCACCCTACGGACAAATACCGATTAATTGATATTTAGCTGTTCAAAGTAGACCAGCCAGTCAGCCTCTGTATGATCTCTATCCATTGAATGAACTTGTCAGCATTCGCATCAGCTGACACTAGTTAATCTACTGGTACGCTTACTGAGTATTTTCGCTTTACAATGCAGGGTATATTCATGCCTTTGTATGTACATTAGGGCGGGTCAATTTGTTTGCGAATTTTTTCGGCTATGCGCGTATAGCACAGAACGATGCCACGCGTAATTCTAAGAAAATTTGCCGGAGAAAACATGGGTCTAAAATCAATTTGAAGTTTGCCCAATTGCGAAAATATGCTTCTCAGCATTTTGCTGTAGTGTCGTAAAGAAGAGCTTAAATTTTCTTTAAAAAATGCTGTGAGGGTTTTTGATATGAGGAATCCATTTCTGTATTTATCTGTATCTTAAAACTTCCATCAGAGGGCACAACAGTGAAAATTTTCACACTTTCTTCGAAACCTATTTTAGCAATTTGGCGTACTTCAAAGTGATTTTAGACCAATGTTTTTTTCGCAAAATTTAGTTAGCATTACATGTAGATAACTCCTTTCCTATAAGCGCATAGTAAAAAATTAAAAGATGACCCGACCTCATGTACATACAGTCATACATACATACTCATGTGGTAGTGTAGTTGTGGGTTTTGCCGTTGGCGTGTTTTTGTTTTTGCAGTTTTACAGCACAAATATAAAGTAAATAAATATGAAAAGTTACAAGCTAACTTGTTAACGGTTTAGTGTAATAGGATTTTATGTTTTTATTTTTAGTTTTATTTTAATATTTAATAGCTCATAAATATTTTTATATGCACTTTTGGGTGAATTATTAACTTAACTAGTTTGCGTTTAACTAAATTTTTCATTTTTTATGTCTGTCGTTAGCATAGAATTTATTTTAGCAATTTTCTCTCTAACTTTACTCACATAATGCGCAGTCCTAAACAGTAATTTTAGCTTACGACTTTACGACTGCAGCCAACTATCTCGTAGATTTTGTTTATATATATGTATATGTATAGTCTTCAGTCAAACGGTTCATTAGTTAGTATAGTCTACTTCATAAAAAAAAAAAAATAGTCGCTAGTTAATTGAGGGTTAGTTGGTTTACTATCGGCCGACTAAAATCACCGTTAGAAGCGGCATTTTACTACATATCGTCAAATTATTTGCACCCTCCTTTACTAATACTAATTTAAATAAAATATATTTAGTTATTTTCTAAGAGCTAAGCTACGCTAAATGTTTACTAATATCGAAATATCCATAGAATTTGCTAAATGAAAGCAATCAAATGATAACTGAAATTTTTCTTCTGACTTCATTGTTCTGATTAGATAATCCCTTTTTCAAAGTAAGAAAAGTAAAAGATTTTATTATTTTTGCTTTCGTAAAAAACTATACTATTTTGCATACTATACTACTGGATACAAAAAAAAAATACGCGGCAGCGCATAGGCCTTACGCTTCCTATATTTTGCTGCAGTTTTTGTTTGCTAAATTTCGTTACGTATTAAAGTAAAAAACGAAACCTATTATAAATAAGGACAACTAACGCCTAAGCCTCGAAAATCTTGTGAATTTTAGTGTATGCGTGTATGGGTGTCTTTACGTGTTTCTCTATGTGGCGGTGCTTTAATTGTTTGTGTTTATGTCTGTATAGTTTTCACTGTCAATTTGTTATAGTATTTAGTTTAATTTTGTGGAATACTTTTTTTATTTCTTCCACCAGCCAATTAAGCAATCAAGCGTTCAATTACTTTCAATATTGCTGTCCATAACGTCCCGTCATGCCGCTATCGTAGAGCTTGCCCAGCGTATCGCTTGCATTGCTGCTAGCTGAGTGCGAAGCTACAGTAACGCCGCCGCAATGAGCGACAGCCGCTTGTCCATAGACCATCGGTGGTGCGCCATAATTGACAGCGCCAGCCGCTGAGGAATCATGCTGATACAAGTAGCGTTCCTTCTTCGAGCGTTTCTGTACAGTCTTCCAGATGATGTAGATAGTGAATTGAGCCAAGAGGAAAATCGCGCCGGCTACGATTAGACCTGTTCAGAGCAGAGCAAGAAAGAGAGAAAGGGGAAAAACATCAGGAAATGGTTAATGCGAGAAATTACTTTATTGGTAAGAAAAATATACATTTTAATCACTATAAATTTTTATTTTATTTCATATTTGCTTATGTACATAGAAAATCAAAGTGAACGTGTTTGTGAGGCTTAAAAGGGATTATTTCATAATAACAAACATTGACTGGGGGAAATTTTTAAATGCATTTCAAAGCAAAATTCATGAGTTGGAAATGATTTTATTTATTTTTAATTACATGCATACCTAAATACATATGTATGTGCATTAGGGTGGTCCAACCTATTTTTTGAGGTTTTTAGGGCCCTGTAAAAATATTGTTATTAGAAGTCGCCTGAAGAGAAACAAAGTCTTCAAATCGAAAAATATTGATTTTCAAGAGTTTTATAACATTTATACGAAAACTGGGTTTTTCCCCAGACAAAATAAGAGTACATGGAAAGCTTTGAGCGACCTCCAAATATTTTTTGATTTCAAAATAAAAAAAACCAGGGGCATTAAAATTCTGACTTATTATTTTTTTACCACCCTTATGTGCATGCATTTGTATGCTGAAAGCTTTCTGGTTATATCGTCTGTTGCTCTTAAATTCATTTTTCGTTTACAACTTTTTTCACATAAATTTTAACATTTATTTGGTGTAGTTAAACAATTAAAATATTGATATGCTTTAATTTTTCAATTATTTAGCTGACTTTGAAAGAAATTTACATAAATACTTAATGTATAGCGGCATTTGTAATAATATGTGGTATTAAAATCTATTAGCTTGCTATTTGTTTTGAATAATACTCTTATTAAAATTGTATATTTCTTACTGCCGAACTACTCACTTTTCTAAATTGTCTATTAAATATCCGGGATAATTAACTTTATAGAAAATTTATCAAGCACTCTAGACAATAGTTGCATTTCTGTGGCTCATACAAATAACTTATTCTCATTAACAAAATATTTCCCGTGGAAATGATTTTATAAAATTTTTTAAGCTTACTTTTACTAGCAAATACCCGGCGCCTTTCACTGCCAAAACTCTTTTGACTCCATTCATAAACAATAAGGTAGATTCAAAGAGCTTTATGAAGCAGATTTTCAAACAAATTTTCGATTCATGAATCAATTTTTTTGTTTTTGTAAATGTGGGTGCTAGTTAATATATATAGTATATACGGTGGAGTAGCATGGCTATAAATCCAGAAGGCTAATGCCCAAGCTTACTAACGAGGAAGTTTTAGGGCTATATGTACCAGCTTTCTCTCGCAAAAGAGAGTCCCAACGAATTCTATCTATCGGAAGGATTTGAATAATTTAAGTTCAAAATCGGTGTGATTTATATTTTTAGGGAATAAAAAACATTGCAGGTGAAACATTAAAAATATAGTTTATAGTTTCTAGGTTCGGTATAGAAAAATTTTAAATAAAAAAGCGAAAGCGCGATTGATTCCATAAAAAACAACAGTAAGCACAAAGGAACATAAAACAATAACAGCCTTTTAAAAATTCTCTTCATCTGATTGGGGGCACTGTTATTAATTGTATAGTAATATTTTGAGATTACAATTTTGCTAAATGCTTAGCTGAGATTCTCCTTCAGATTATGATGTCCTGATGGAATGTCTCACAATTTTACGTTGACTACGAATGGCAAATCGTTTTTTATGAACAGCTTTTTCTTTGAGGTTTGTTATTGCCTGCGGAGGGGCAACCGCTGAGAGCTTTTCTCAAAGCTTCGTTTAGATAAAATATATGGAAAGCTTTGTAGAACTTATCATGGGAATATATTAAATGCTCAGATCTCGACTGCATAAATTAAAATCATAGTAAGATTTTAAAGTTTTTTGCGATAAAGTCCAGTTTAGGTGGGTAAAATTATTATTTTATTTATTTGTTATAAGCTTCAAGCTGAAAGCTTTTTAAGCCGGTCCCTTATGTATTTCTTTATTTCTGTAGACATGTTTTAATGGGAAGAGTGAGATTTTCTTCTATTCAAAATGTATGTCGGTTTTGCCTTTTATGTACAAAAAAATGTAGTACTTATAGTAATGCCATGAATTTTTAAAGCTCATTTAAGTCGTCACCACCCGGTACTTGTATTAAGCATTCCAATTAAAATATGAAAGTGCATATGAGCATGAGTTTGGCAGCCTCGACGCTGTGCGCTTTGAGCTTTTTAAAAGTGACGCCCAGAGAAAACTTCCTTCGTACGTCCATTCGAATAATATAAAGAGCTTAAAAAGCTTCGGAGGTACATTACGCTTAGGGCACTTTTCCCATATTTGTGGATATTATTTGCCTAGATTTTAAATTGCCAAAGATTTTGTTCGCAAATGAGTTTTATAAATGAAATTTTATGCTAAAAGTGTTCTATTTCTTGCCTTCAAGCACTCAATTTTTCATAAATTTTTGTAAATTTTTTTTTGTGAACTCTGCTGGGTTTTATGTTTTGACTTATTACTCGTTGATAATGTTCCAGATATGAACGAAAGTTGTGCTCACAAATAGGCAATCCTCTAGAATTTATATTTCATCACTTTCAAAAAAAAAGTACCACGAATTATCCGCATTTGCCATTCTTTCACTTGTTGGTGGAGAATATACTTTCTTGATTTTAAGCTTCACAATTTTCGCCACACATCGCCATATTTAACACTCTTCGCAAAAAAATGCAAAGAATCTTAGCTAAACTGGGACGCCCTCAATATGATGAGACCACTGACAGCAGTGTATGTAATTGAGGCTCAACCGCACACAATTGTCAAGAGTATCTAAGTATTAGGCATTGTCCGCCAGCAACAAACACACATAAGCACAAGCACAAGCGCAAGCGCAAGTAAAATGAAGCCAACAATGCCATCAATGAATGACCAAAAGTTAGCAAAAATGCTTGCTTCTTAGTGTGAGCTGCCATTGTTGGTTTGGGTGTCCATATATACTCAAAAAATGCAACTCTATCGTCGCTGACCAAAAAACTAAGCCAAAATGCGCTTGCAATACCAGAAAAGCTACGAAAACAGCGCATACTTAGGCAATGTAATATAAGCGCACACGCATGCGTTGTGGGCAACATTGTGGCCAACGGAGCATCGCTGAGAACTCAAAACATTAGATTGGTGCTGTTGACAGCCTCAGCACACTTGTTACCGTCAAATACCAAATCGATTGCTGTATGCGACATAAAAAAGTACGAAATTACGCGCTGCAGCAGTGGCCATAAAAGAAAATTGGAGAAAGTGGCTGTCACTATGGCTGTGACGCCCTGCTCAGTCTGCTGACGAATACACGTACATAGATAGTGACCGAAAAAAACTGCAGTGACGATTGGGCGCGCTGCAGATTGTAACGAAAAGTAGGAAGGTGCAGGCAGATAATCTACGCTTCATATTTAGACACAAATCTAATTCCATTTCAACGCACTTACTCACCAACTAACTGACTGATGCGCCCGCCAGCCTTCAACGGGGCTTCAAGCAATTCTTGCGTCTTGTCAGTTGGCGTTGCTCTTGTGCGGCCTGTTGTATAGGCGTTCAGCAGCGTTTGGAAACTCGATTAAGCGGTACAATTTTTCATTGTATGAAGTATGCGGGAACTTTTATTGTTTTCCATTATTTAGCTGGCAAAACGAATTAAAGTGTTTCTATTTGGCATTTGAGGATGAGTTGCTGGATTTTGATACTCAGCGTTCGCAGGCGGTCATTAGGTTTTGAAGCGAAGACAAGCGTGGACGAATGGTCAAATAGTGAAACGAATTTGTTGGAAATTTTAAAAATAAATACATATGTTCAACTTTCTGCCACTTGTTGTCGTCTGGTCTGCCTGCAGCTAACCGACCGGCTTTCGTTCTTGCCACGGCACAAAATTTCACTTATTTTGGCGGTCGTACGCGCATTTTGTGTGTCACTGAGGCGCACTTGCACGTACACATTCTGTGCGTAGCCGCAGCCGCTTGCCATGCCAGCCTTTTCTGTGCTGCTGTAAACGCTTTCTGCATTTTTGTTTTTTGTTTTTTTTTCGTTTTGATTTTACGCGGCAGCTTTGCTGTCATTGCGCGGCTGTCCATTACTGGCTACATTTGGTGGCAGCTGCATTGGTCGTGGTCGTGCCGCATGATTTAAACTTGTTTGCTTACAATTTATTTATTTGCTAACATTTATATTTTTTAATTTCTCTACTGCATGCTAATGTATGTAAATATTTGTCTTATGATTCTCTTGCATTACCAAATGTAAGCAGGTTCTTAGAGCACATGTGCACCATAAGTATGTATGTATGTATAGAGGTATATGTATGCGGTTGCTTTCATCATAAATTCTTTTTATTCTATTTAATTTGGAAGCGCTTGTCAGGTTCTTGTTTGACTTTTACTGGTTTTATGTTTAGATTCTATGATTTACTGTGATTTTAATTTTCTGTTGAGTATTTTTTTTTTTGTAACTTTCTTGGCTGTTTGTTGTAGTTTGTCTAACCGATGCAAATATGGGTGGCAAATCCATTTGGTGCGGTTTTTATTTTCTCTTAGAATATTAATTTCTGACAGCTAGCTCTAGTAAGTTTTTCTTTCTATAGGTACGTTAATATTTCTGTGGAAAATTGATTCGGTCGATGTCAATTTCGTTGGATTTTATAGGAGTTTGGATGGATCTAAAGTTCACAGTCTCGTGAAGATGTGGATTCATTTTATACTCTAAAAACTCCAATATTGCTTCCTTTATTTATATCAAGGAGGATGATACCTTTTTAAGTTGGTTTCGAGACCGAATTAAGTCTACTCATTCAGCATAAGGTAAGCAGTGGTACGGTAAAGAGTCACACCTCTCACATCTTCGCGAATTGTAGCTGTGATCAACCAGCTATACAAGCTAAAGAGAGGAGGCTTTAGGAATTTTTAACCCAGATGTAGTGGCCCTTTTAGTGAGGGTCCAGCTCTGAATATCATTTGCGATCTGATCCAAAGTTACTTGCACCTCTTGACTAAGTGGTCTGCTTACAGTAGTACTACAAGTCTACTATAACTTCTAATAAGACGAACACATCTCCTTCACTAGGCAGTAGCAGACAGCACACACAACTTTTCTATCAATTGTTGGCTTCTATATACTGCTGCAGAGAGAACAACTAGGTAAGAGATGGAGCCTTTGTCCGGAGGCAATTGGCTGGCTCAACTGAAGCGTAGGGAACCTCAAATTTTTTTTATAGGAACTTTGTTTGAACAGATCCGGTCAAAGCAAATTGCGAATGGCTGACCTTTCTTCGATCACGTCTGTGATATTTGAGCATACTGCATTTCGGATGAGCTGGCCCGTTCTGACACCCTCGCGTCTTACTCAACGAGAAAATAGAGAATGGTAGTACCTCTAAATGCATGTGGACTACTCTTGGGCAGATGGACCTAATACTAGGTTAACGAATACGAGAAAAAACACAAGACACGTGCTACTGCTAGTTCATTCTGGCGGGGAGTGGAACGTGGGTGGCCAATGGGTCTCACTTGGCTCTCGAAGTCCCAACTCTCAGTTTGTGTGCTGATACTAAATACATATTTAGGCCTGCGATTAATTTCCTCCCTTCAATAATTATGCTATTTTTTTGAATGTCTAAGTATGATAAATTAAAATATATATTTTGTTTTATTTTTCTAGCACGTCGAGAATTTTTTTTTTATTGGTGACTTACATATTTTAAAATTTTAACTTAAAAAGAAATAGTATTAGGTAAAACTACCCATAAAGAGACTAAGCAAATCAGAAAAATTTATGTAATTTGGAAATTAAAGCTGAGAAAACTGATAAAAAATATATTCTTAGCAAATAACGCGCATTAATTCGATATTACATACGTTTTTTTTTGGTTTACTTAGTCCCTTTATAGCTAGTTTTTTAACTAATACTATTATTTTATTAGTAAAAATTCAGTTCTACATTAATTAATTTTTGGGTTTTCATGCAAATTGCTAAAAATTCTAAAATTTTGATTTCACCAATAAAAAAATCTCGACGGGCCTAAAAAAACATTGTTCTAATTACGGCTCGTAAAATTATCCGACTACATTTTCGACTACCCGATTAACCGATCATTCGATTCCTAACCGTTCACATGCTTATTAGTTGATTATTGGTATTCGACTAGTCGCCAGCTTTTGACTATTCAAATAGTTGCTTTGCTTCGACTAATTGAGTATTGTAGAAAATCGAATTTCAGTAGCTGAACTTTGATTTAAATTTCTTGACAACTGAAAAAACAGATATGAAACATAAATCGACACCTGAGTAGAATATCGACCTATCGCGGAAGCCAGTTCAAAAACGCCCTATCTCATAAAATTTTTTAAGCGCCCTAGCTCAGAATTCGGCTCAAAACCGCCCTATCTGAGCTAAAAATGTACTGACATAGAGCGTTTTCGAATTGGCTGCCGAGATAAGTCGATCTTCGACTCAGGTGTCGATATGCCCAGTGGGAAAAATGGGAATGCATTACCTTTTTCAACAAGAAAAGGTTAACAACTACGGTTGAACGAAAAAATGTAGTGCAACGTAAGCGAGCGGATGATGTGTAGTTTTGAAGCCATAAACAAAACAAAAAGTTGGAGTGCTAACTCAAGTATGTTGTGTTGTTGGTCACGCGTTCAAAGCCTGTGGCACGGACTTTATTTTTTCTAATTCTTTTTATAGATTCTATTTGTAGTCTATTATTAGTATTGTTATTTGTAGTTTTGTAAAACGACAAGTGAAACATTACTTTCGTATGACAACGCTGTAGAGCAATTCCTGGATCTTTTCCTGCGTAGGCAAATAATTTTTGCATTACCTAACATTCCCACTAGGTACTTACATACAAAGAGCATGTTCCATATCTACAATTCCTCCACCCACACTGAACAACCACTTAAAAAAAATCCATAGGAAAAATCGCGAAAATGAGAGGTTGGTATTGCTTAAAATATTCGATTAAACACAAATCAACGGTTAAGCGAATAATATAAAAAGAGCGGTCAGTAGAATATTCGACATCTTTCGACTACTCGAATATTGGTATAGCTTTCAAAGATCAAATTTTTATCATTTAAAATTTTAGTTAAAAAAACACAAAACCGTTGCTCATATACTCGTATGTATGTTTGTTTAAACACAGTTTTTTTATCCAAATAGTAAAACATTTTCACTACTCTATTTCCTAAGTTCACAAATTTAGTCAAGAAATGTGAGAAAGCTTCTTTATACTGTTTCACAGGCTTTACAACTAATGCTCAGCAAACTCAACTAATTACCACCATCTTATGCTCTTTATTAACCCGTTAACCTCCATAATATTTGACCTTCTGCTTATTGGTGCACAAGGCGTTAAGTGCCAACAGGTATTGCTTGCAAAGCACACACAAAAAACTTACTCAGCGTACGAATATATTTCTTCGAAGTATTTAACACAGCGCAAGCAAAGAAAGGAACGGAATATTTATAGCCACAGGATCGACACACTTTTGGAACAAGAAATAGGCAAACAATAACTAACAAAATAAAAAAATAATGAAAACTAGTACAAGCAAAAAAAACAAAGAAAAAAGCGGTGTATATTATATGCATCATAAATATTAGCAACATTCGCAGCGGTGCAGCATGCAGTCGATGTTCGGTTTTCCCCAAAGCGACATATAAAATCGGGCAACAAAAGAATTTGTGGTTAAAAAAAGTGTGCAACATATCTACAAACAAAAAAAGAATAGAACATTTTTTGCTCCAAATCGGCAATCTGCCCGCGCATAACAAAAAAAAAGAAAACAGCACATACATACCCAGACACATATGCACGTAGCATGTAGTCAGATTAGCAGCACGCGCAACAGCTGGTGTTGCATGGATTTTATAGAGGTTACAACAGCGAATTTGCGCCTGCCCGCTTCTGTTGGCAACGCTGCTGGAGCAGTTGGCAACAAGCGAATTAGAACAACAGTATTGCACTACCATATTACCTTCTGTATTGGCTGCTGTGTGAATGCGCGCGCCGCGGTCGGCGGTCGGCGGCCGGCGACTAGCAACCGACAAGCTGTACGGCTCACGGCGCACGTTGTCACGACACTTTGGCGTGCAAATTCTTGCCAACGGCATGCGCACAATATGAGATGAGCAAAAACACAAAAAGCAGCACAGTCAAATCAGCGGCGGTGGTGGAATCCAAAAAACCAAAATTTTTGAAATTAAAAGAACGAAGGCCTGTGTGGCATAGTTGAAGTGACGCGCATTGAACCACTGACCCGCTCGTGAGGAGGCATGCCACTGAACTGATTTGCTGAACAGTGCAACTAATTCCAACAACTGTTATGGTTGCTAATGAAGCAAGTATTGGCAGAAAAAAATTATAGCAAAGCAAAAGCAATATTTGCAAAAAATATGTTTGTATGTATGTATATGCAACCATGCTGTAGCGGAGGTTATTGAACGCATACCTAGAAACCTATATTTGCTGCAGTGACCGGGAGAGGCAGCTAGGTTAGAGAAGAACAAGGGCAACAGCGTTGCAGCACAAGCATGTATGTCGAACGTTGGCTGCATGCATGTGATTGCCTGCTCGCGACCACAGAATAATCTCTTGCCCCTTACGCCGTCGCCTCATACTGCGCGCCAGGCAATAAAACTCGAATAATTTAGACATAGTAGCGAAGCACCACGGCTTAGAGCAGCGATTGCCTAGCGTAATTGATTCATTATCGGTGCCGCGGTCGCGCGCGACCAAAAGAAATACCTGCCCCAGCTGCCCGTGCAATGAGCCGCTATTGAAAATGTGCCGAAAATTACGTGTGCGCGGCGAAATGCAAATTTTCGGTTGCCAATTTATTGCTGCCACAAAAGCCATTGCCACCGCCAGTGCCAGTGCCAGTGTCACGGCTAATACCAGCCCATTGTGGCTGTCGACGTGCTTGCCGCTGCAATTTGCCACTGTTGAAAAGCAATTGCATATGCAATTTTTGGTTGTGGCCACTACTGTTGCCCGTTCATAATTCGTTTGCCAATTCGTTGGCCCAGCAATTGACAATGCGCGGCGTGGCGCGAAGCGGCATGATTTGTGTTTGCGCGCGCAATTATGCAAATCTGCCTGCAACATTGCTTTGTGCTGCCGTATATGCAAGCGTAAAATATTGCCAAAGCCACTACTAAACAAACAATATCAAGTGAGAGCCAATCTTCGAAAAAATACCAAATTTTTTTTCTAAATAATAACAAAATATGCAGCGCGTAATGATGCGGGGTTAAATAAATGCGCGAAAAAATTGCAAATATCAAAAAACAAACGAAAATAAAGATTTATATAAATTTCTGGCTTCACCCCTTTTTCCCACATCCAACTCTTGCCATCAATACCATTCATTTATCGACATAACCATCGCATACTTACCATAGCCGTTGAGACAGGTGAGCGCATCATCGCCAATGCCGGCGTACACTTTATGATCGGCGCCCAACGCATCGGCATCCTCCTGATTGAAGCCGAACTTATCGGTGATTTGAATGGATTGCACCAGCAGTATATTATCATCGGCGGCATGTTTGTTACTTTTGTTGTCGTTGTGATTGTTTTGATTGCTGCTACTGCTACTCACATCGCGTCTCTCACGTTGCGCATGCGCCATGGTACTTAAGAGGAATTCAGCTGTAAAAAATTGGTGAGAAAAGCAAACAAACCAAATGCAAATTAAATTTCGAACAATTGGTTATTGTCAAAAAAAATTAGAATATAAAAGAAAATTCCAAATTCATTCGAGTCTTCCAAATCGCAAATCAATTCAATATTTCGCTTCAACTTCAACTCACCGCCATCTGTTCCATTTGCCACCGAACGCCTTCTACGTCCGTATGACACTAACGATTTTGCATCGGCGCCGCCCATAACAGCATCCTCGTTGTCACAGATCACTGGCTCACAGCGCGGTATGCAGGGTGTAACTAGCGCGCGGAATTGCACCACCTCTGAGGAGGGGAATTTGAAGGCATCGAATTGTGAGACGAGCACCTTGCGGCTGTGCGACATCTTTTGTATGGCGCCCATAATATATTGATCTGTGGGACAGCCATTGGCGTCGATCAGCGTAATCTCGGCATTGTCTGTGCCATCCATGGCTACCAATTCGCGCACGAAAATCTCATAGGGACTGTTTTGTTCGACGATTTCGAAGCGTAGCGCCAACGGGTCACCAACCTCGGCAATGCGTTTCATATCGCTGCCATCACGTGAGGTGATCTTCATAACTACATTTGGTGAGTCGATAATGATCTCTTCGCTTAGTGAAGATTCGATTTCACCAGTGACACCCAAATCAACATCGTTCGAGACAGTCTTGTTGGTCAGATCATATTGGCATGAAACAGCAAGACCCAAATCGGACGAGGTTACAATCATATCGTGGTGTTGAATAACAATGTCGTTCATGTAACGGCCATATGCGCTCTGACGTACATTGCACTCCAAATCATTGTAGCCCATACGGAAATCGAATTCCAGTGAGTTGTTCACATTCACCGAGCAGGATTTGGGCGAACCCTTGGCGTAGACCTTGCCGTCGAACAGTTTTGAGGTGCGTATTTTGGTGATCATTTCGCCGGAGCGACATTCAATAGACACATTATAGCAGGAAGAGAGTTCGTAGGTGGCAGCTTCGGGTACATCCAGGTAGGGGTCGAGCACATCGGTAAGCGTGGCGCGGCTGTGATGCGAGAGGCGGCAGACCATGTCGCCGGTATCATTGTAGTCGTAAGAATGACATCTGGAATGAAGAAGCATAACGTGGTGTAAAATAGGGGAAACAGTCAAAGGTACAATTGTATTCTAAGGGTATATAATCTACAACGGGTAAGTTAGAACTTTTGGATTTGAAGGCGGGACCTACAGTTTTACGCTGACTCCGAACGGCGATTCTATTTTTACAAGAAGCTATTTTTCATGACAGAAATACACTCGGAAGTTGGAAATTGCCTACCGAGGGGCGACCGCTATTAGAAAAAAAACTTTCCCGTTTCTTTTTTTTTGTTCCTAATGGTTAAGTTTTTTTTGCTGGATAATATACACTTAATATTCGAGCTTTACAAACTATATAATAAATAATTTATATAAATATAAAGGGCGCTTAAAATAGTACAGAAGACGCCAGCAGCATTTAGCATGCCGGTAAATGTTGCAGCCACCTTCACATTAAATTGTCACCATTTAAACACATTTACAGTAAATAACATATTTTTTTTACGACGACTTTGATAAACTATATTATGCTTACTAAACTCCATCTGTGGGTATTTTGCCATCCATTCTATCTAAAGAAAAGTGTAACAAAGGATTACTGAGAGCATGTGCTATCCATTTCAACTAGTGAGTACTGGTTCAGTGGGTTATTTTGGCTTGTAACCACCGAGTCGGAGGTAATTTTGGACGAAGGCATTTCTTGGCAACTGAAAGCCATTTGTAGGTATGGTGCAGAAAGTCGATAACTTAGTGCCACACGGACTCAAACAAAAAGTTATCGCACAACGTGTAACTGTTTAGTTAATTATGGCTTTTTTTTTAATTTTATAAACTCCTGAACTACTTGGTAGCCTTTGCTTTAAAAAATTATTGACATCATCCTTATTTGGAATTAAACCGAAGAAATCTTACCTGTATGGTGAGTTCAAACACAGATCACGGCACTCGTCAATGCTGTTGATATCTTGATATACAGAGTCCACCGTTTTCAGAATCTTGCCAGAAATACGTTTGAATTCACACAGTTTGCTAGGTTCTTCGGCGCAGTTGTTCTCCAGATAATCAGCGCCGTCATAAGGCTCCACATTATTGGCACCGGTTAGAGTAATGCGATCCATGTCCGAGAGTTCGCATAAACCAGAGTGACGATAGAAATTGGCGGATCTGTGGGTAGAATTGAAAGATCAGAAGTTTTGAAAATAGCTTTGCAGCACAAAAAAAAGAAAGTATCATAAATAAAATAACTACAAAGTGAAAACGACATTTGATTTAACTAGAATTTTAATTCTGCTGAAGTACTTTTTCATGAAGGGCACTTGAGTTAAGCGTTTGAATGAAAAGTATTCGAATCTTCAAAAGTTACAAACTTCGACGGAAAAAATTTAAATCTTGTAAGCCAAGTTGCAACAGGTCAACGAAATATATAAACGTAAATTTTATTTTAGCGTTGCTATACTCTTATGAACTGAACTGAACTGCATTAAAGCCCTTCAACACTTGTAACAGCTTATCTGAGTAGAGTGAGCTAGCAACGTGTTGCACTTGACCCAATTATGCAGCAGCTGTAAAAACAAAACAAAAACACTTAACTTTCTTTTAATTTACTAGCACCGCCACTTCATGCTGCAGTCGCTGCTTCTCAATTCTCAGCCATCAATGGCCGCCCTTACCACCCTGCGGCACTCATATATTTAGCTGTATATTCACAACACTTACCTGCACGTAAATTCGGTCTCGCCCAAGCACAATTCCAAGCAGTCACGGCGCGTATAGACAGTCTGGCTCGACTTGACATGATCCACCAGGCGATAACCTTGAACGCGATCGATGCACCAGGCCTTCGAGCAAGGACGCACACCCAAACAGGATTTCTGTGCGTAAATGGTGAAAACTGGAAACTGTGAACGCGAAAGTGAACCTGAAAGCAGGCGAAATTAAAATCGCAAGCCAAAAAAAGGAAGAAAACCTCACAGAAATGTAAATGAGCAACACCAATATGTGCATATGTATGCCCATTACTATACGGGTACATGTATAGCTGAGTACGCAAGAAAAAACGCATGTACGTACGTAAGTTGGCGAAGTGTTTAGCGACACGCATGCACGCACTGTAACGGTAACTTGCGTAGCGCCAATGTCCTCAGCAGCAGCAGCAGCAGCAAAATGTGCTTACGCACACGCCCATTTGCTGCAAAGGAACAGGCGTTAAGAAATCGGCAGCGCGTGTGTGCGAAAGATTCGAGTGGCTGGTGGCTGGTGGCTGGACAAACTAGCACCTGCCAGCTACATAACAGGCGCGGCGACAAAAAAGGCGCAAAAATTGTGCGTTAGGCCTATGTATCGACTGTGAGGTGAAATAAAATAAATATTCGCTAAAAAAAAGTCCAACAAATAAGCCAGTTGAAAAAAAAAAACAAAAAACAATATCAAGGAGATGGCGAGGTGGGCTTGACGTGCAGGAGGGATGCAACGCTGAAATACAAAACCTGTTGTTGGCTGCTGCACACTGCCTGTTGCATGCTACACGCTGCCTTTGCTGCCTACTATTTACCAGCATGGCCTCATAAAGTGGCAGCACATAATTTTATGCGTAAAAAGTAGGTGTGTACGCGCACGTTGAGCGCGTCGCCGATTATACAACACAGCATATACAATTTACCACAATCAATTTACTACAGTTTAGCAGCGGATGGCGTATAGCGGCAAGCAAGCAAGCAAAGCCAATGAAAAATGAGGCAAATAATATTTTTTACAACAACTTTGTTATGATTTTTCGAAGCAAGTTCGCGACCGGAGTCTTTTGTTTTTTGCCAGTATTTTTTCTGTTTCGTTTTACTACGATGAAATGCAATACTTTGCGCATTCTGTTGAACTATCGATTGCATGGCACTCGCGGGCGCACAGTGATCACACTACAATGCGCTACAAATATACCAGTTTGACGGCCTACAATATACCGCTGTACCGCTAAGCTGCACTTATGTACATACATACGCACGCACATACATGCTAATGCGTGCATATACATACATATGTACAATATGTAAAGCCACATTTATAAATATTATGACGTTGGCGACGCTGCGGCGTTAGTGCTGCAGAATCCGCTTACCCACTTACCTGGCAATATATCAGCGGTAGTTTTGAATAAAACACAGAGACCGGTCTCGTAATTAACTGCACTGCATGATTCGTTCACCTGGCATGCCTCTAAGCAATCAGTCAGCATCAGTATGCCGGGCAGCGTGTCAAGTAATTTAGTTGGCGCCGAGAGAACATAACTGCAAGAAATAGAGAGAAGAACGGGGTAAAATTAGAAAAACAGAAGAATGTCATGAGTTTGGTTGGTAAGCAAACTAGAGTGAAGCATATGCATCTACAAACTAGACGCTGAAATAACAGAATGTATGTGTTACGAATTGAATGTATTAGAATCAAGAAAAAAGTTTGCATATCATATGCATATGTATTACAAACACATGTGATGTGAACACCGATTTTCTCTTATAGTAAATTGGGTTATTACGCGTTATTATGTAATGTGCAAAAAATGCTACACTTCTGCTATGAAAATTGTGTTGCCGCATAATAATGAAAAAAATATTGCTTATATGCATTGCGGCAAGTATAATACAATTTTTTTTTGAGCTCACATTAGGCGAGCGTCATAGCTGAGCCTCCAGAGGTGCATACTATGCCACTCGATAAGAATTGGCTTCGTTTCTCCAAATTCAAATCGTTCTATCAAAATGATTGAAACAGTCGCCCCCAGCCACGCTTAGGTAAATGTAAATGATGCTTATATGTAGATAAATGGAGGGACATAAAATTTTTCGCCAAATCCGAAGAACGAATGGCTTTTATCAGAAGTTTGCCAAAGTCTGCCGAATTGTGGGACTACTTTCAGATAAAGATTTTTATTTTTCATGTCGCTCTGAGTAGGCATGAAGCCTATGTCCTGTCGGGTGAAAATACGTGCACCTCTGGCCGCTATAGCTGATGGCTGATGGATATAGCTGTTTATTGGATTTTAATGAAAGATGTTTGATCTACGCTCTTGTCCATTACCGTTGCTTCCTTTTGCTGCATAAGTTTTTGATTTAAGTTTTCGGGCGTTCCTACGCAAAGTGCATCGACTATTTTACAAAAAAAAAACGAAGAAAATAATCCGCTAGTTAAATGATTCCCACTCAGGCCTTGAAAAATAAACTAGATGTGTGTGCTTCTAGAATTCTGCACATTCAACTTTAGCCACCTGCCGCAAAGCGGAATTTAATTTTTCCTGACTAGTTACAACTCAATATACATACGTACATATTTACATACTAAAGTACGCCGAAAATAACAGAGCTTCTTCATTTTCGTTTTATTGCATATAAATGTAATTTTATTTGGATAATTTTCTAACTAAATTCTTATCTTTCTGCACGCGTTGCTTTGTGTTAAATAGTTCTGACAATACAGAAAAAAATATTATCTAACTACTTTAACCACGAAATAAATAATCTATTGGATTTTTTGTTTTACAAAGACGACTACCCTTATCAAGTGGTCAGAGGTGCTTACTATGACTCGTCAGGACCAAGGTTCGAGTCCAGGTCAGCGAAACAACCAAATATGCATCATAACTTGGGAAGACAATAATATGCAAATGCATATTATGCCAAAATATACCGATTTCGGCGTAAAATTTAATTAATTTTCGCATAATTTCATCTGACAATATCTTTGCCGAGATATCCAGGGTTGTTGACGAGGGTTGTTTAGTCATTATTATTAAATTATTTTATAGTAAACAATTTTAATATACTCGTAAACATTTTTCGACTATCGTTTACCAATAGTGAAGTTTTGCCTAAACCAGTTTTGATGGTTGAATAATTCAACGAAAATTTTTTGTTTTTCGCGAAAGCTGTTTAACAAACTGTTGCGGTGTGTTGCGAACTGAGCAGAGAGTTTTATTCTGCATCTATTGTAACTTCTCAATATTAGCAACAAAAATAGTTTGAGTGAAGCAACACATCAATAATATGTTGCAGTATTTTCACCAGCAAAATTTTCATCTTTTAAATTCTGTCTAATAATGTCTTGTGACGTCGACCGTTCATTTTCAATACATATCGATGGTTCTCTGCAATAACGACACAAGACTAAATTTCATATTTTCAGTAGAGCCAGTTAAAGATTTTGTGTTTCGTAATTAAGCAATAATATGTCTGGGAGCGTAATTATTCCGGATTATTTGCAGTGATTCTGTAGGGGAAATTTGTAAGCTTTCAATTTATAATCTTTTGTAAAGACTTAGGAAGTATTGGACTGCAAAAATACGAAATAGCTCACAACTTGTAAGTAGTTCAACGAAAAAAATTCCATTTGCACCTATTGCTAAACAACAGCACAAAACGAAAAGTGTCGTTATTTCACATAAAAGCATGACTAACCTATCGAGAGATTTCGACTTATGCCAACATTCACGATAAATGTGAGACATGTGCCACTGTTCAGTGGTAAGGGTTGGCTACTTCAGTTTTGTGACAAATGGTTGAACTGCGCATCTGCCGGAATGGTAACAACTAAGCATATGTCGATTTGCCACACGAAAAATATTGTTATTTATAAACCTAGTTCGCTATATAACTCAAAAACATGGAATTGTGAGTTGTGCCGTTATTGCAGAGGACCATCGATAGCTTTTTATGCGAAAATCAAAAAAGTTTTCGTTGTACATATACATTTTTGGAGCATATATCGCGTATTTTTTAGATTTTGGAATCATTTTTATGATCATATAATTGGCTTTTTTGTGCATATTTTTGTCTTCCCTAATCATAACGTTAAACCGTATATCGCGTAGCAGGGCAGCAGTCGAATCGTACATGTTTAATTGCTATTGATTATTAAGATTTTACACAAAAATATTTCAAAATAAGATTCTAAACATATCGCATTTACATACCTATCAAACTCAGATTCTGCATACATACAAATACGAACACACATATTTATACCTAGATAGTTTCTTTATTTTATTTTTATTTTTATTACTACTTCTGCAGCCTACGACAAGATTTTATTACCACTGCCGAGTTACAGTTGCACCAAACCCATTAGCATTTCGAATAAAAAATTGTGAATTGTGATTTTACTATCATTTTTGATTGCTTCAGTGAGCACAATCCAACATTAATATCCGTTCTTAACACTCCATTCCTCTTGCCGCCTCTCAAACATTTCTGTACTCACCCAGTGATAATTTCAAATCCAATCATATCCGGATCGCATTCCTCCTCAATGGGCAACAAAGTAGCTGAGGGTCGCTCTGTTTTGGCCTCAGCCGAAGTCGACGATGCTGCAGCGCCTGTGGTGCCGGTGCTCGCTTCCGACAATGGCGTCATTGGTTTGGGCAGCTCATTGCCCACTGTATAGCCTTCGCTTCCGGTGCTGTCATCGCCAGCAGCGCTAGCGGCATAATTCCCGCTGCCAATTTGTGTTGGTGTAGCTGTAGTGCTGCTCGTCGCAACGGCAATACTAGGCGCATGTGTTGTTGTGCTTGTGAGACTGGATGAAGCGGCGGTAGTAGCGGCTACTGACTGTTGAGCCGCTGCTGCACCGCCGGCAACACCGGCGGCAATACCACCAGCACCGGCTCCAGCTGCTGCACCAACTGCTGCTGCTGCTGCCAATGCAGCTGCTGGCGCAGGTGTCACATTGGTGCGGGGAAATGTCTTGGCTGGCTTAACCGGACGTTTGGTTTTACGTGCCGCGGATGCAGTGCTTGCAACCAGCAGAAAAACGATGAGGTAAATTGTGCAACGACGCAAAAACATGTTGCCGCTTATTGATTGTTTGCAGCAAGTGCGCTTGTGGTATTTAAAAGTTTTCTTGTTATCGCTGCTTTGTTGACGCCGTTATTGGCTTGCTAGGAGATTCTGCAAAGAGAAGAACAAGCGTAAGAAAAAGGTAATCATTAGTTGCGCCTTAAGTAGAAAAATTATTACAAATAAAGTAATGGTGCAATTGATATGTGTGTGCTGCTACATACATATGTGCAAATATAACTGCATATGATGGTATGTGTGGTTGGAAGTGTGTCTTCACTTGTTAACAACCATAAGTGGCACAGTGCGAACAAGCCGCTTCGTCTAATTAAATCGTAGAGAGACAAACTTTAATGGATAATGCGGAGAGTGCAAAAAACCGAGGCTTACACAAACACATACACACGTACATAAATAAGTATGTGAGCACATGTTTGCATCACTCTGGCTAAATGATTTTTTCCTAAACAAGCACTCGTTTAGCGCGTTGAAATTGTGTCTAGAATTTTTTACATATTTTTCACTCTTCCGTGAAAAAGTGTTGGCATTGCCGCTTTTATTTGTTGTTATATCTGGCACAGAAAGCAGTTTTTTACACTTTTTACTAAACCAATTAAAATCGTGAGAAAAATCCGCTTAAGGCTACACTATGTCTACATTTATATAATGGAACCTGGCATACAGTTATTCAGCTTTGTTAAATTCAACACTACTGGTCATGCTGGTCGCTGGACGCTGGGAGCGTTAAAACGGATAAACCACTGGGAAGCTGTGATTACTTTGTCAATAATATATCCGGTCGTTAAAATTTTATCGACATGTTTATTTTCTGTAGTCACGTTATGCAGGGTAGTTGCACTCAATATACTATTAATGATGCAAAAAGGTAACGCAAAAATGCAAAGTAATTAAAAAATGGAAATCTCCAATAAAGAAGTGACTAGGTTTATTTGCTAGATGGCAGCAAGTTGCACAAAGCGTACGAAAACCACTTTTTTAACTGAGAAAAGGCATCTTTCTGTCTAAGCAGTGTTGCACTGAAAAAAGATTAACAAAACAGCTTCGATCCGCTGCACAGTGGTCTGAATAGAGAAACTAGCCGGAAAAAAACTATTTTAATAGATTGACGTTAATGGATTTGTACGCTACTGCGTATCTATTAGTTTATTGGGCACTGATTAAAAATTTTCAGTCAGGTTTCAAAAATCCAATATGGCGAACAAATTTTAAAAAATTTATTGAATTCGCTCGAATATTGTTACTTAGGGGTATTTGGAGTCGCTGACGATGAATCTGACCATAAATTTATAAATTAAAAATTGAGGTTCCAATATGGCAAACGCTCGAAACTTGTTACTCTGGAGTTTCTGAAAAGTGAAAATAATTGTATGGGCCTCGCAAAAGCGCGTAAAAGGAGTATAATGTACCTTAAAGCCAACACTTCACAGAATACGATTTCATGAATTTCTGGTCGAAACTCAGCAGAACTATTTAATTTTTTTCTATTTAGATATTAAAATAAAATAATTTCAAGTCCAAATTTTTACGTTGAACTTATAGAGCTATCTAAAATTCACTTATTAAATTTTAGAAACTATGAATTATTTTTTTAAATACCAGTAATAACTTGCTTTCAGGAACAAAAAATTTTCAACAGACGAACCGATACCCTTTAGAAGGTTAATTATTAATAATTAATATTCTTTTATTAGTAAAAGTTCGTTACTATTATCTATTGTATTAAGAAGCAAACCATGATATTTTGACGCTATTCGCATGTCTTTGAATTTAAAATTTTGTCCCGCTGGTTTAGAGAATCCGAGTCCGAATCCGAAGTGGAATCGGCTGCCTATATCCAGAGTTGGAGAGATGCATACTTAGGCCCAGTGGGCCGCCCGTTGTGATACCAATTGAGAGTTCGTATATGATCTCGTTCATTCACCTAAAAGCAGAACCCGTTATAATGCCGGTCACTTGCCCTAGTAAAGGGCGTTCTAACTGAATGAATGTATCGGTTCTATTCTTATGGCAGCTGGGCCAGATTTGTCTACTCGTTCCACACGTGGCTTCTTCTGACCATATTTTATTTTCCTTCTCGAATAAGTATTTTTTAACCCATAGCTTGCAGTTTGGTAGGTGGTGTGCGCGCATCGTGAAAGCAGTTGACGTCAGACAGGGTAATTGTCATTCTTGCAAGCTCGTTTGCTGTACAGTTACTTTGTATGTCTCTGTGACCTAGGACCCACATAATGTATATCGCAGCTACGTGGCTGCAGGTTTACCTGCATGGCCTCAGATCTAATGGTCCTCTCAATCCTTCTTGGAAGGTGAAATACAGGTGAAGAAATACAGGTGAAGAACATGTTCACGAGTTTGATAGGTAGTGAGTGCTGTGTAGCCTGGGGAGATAAATGTATCGGAGTAGTTGGTACGAATGAGAGAAGCTGAGGTCTTTCCATTTTGGCAGTGCGTTTGATCTTACTGCATTGTACTTTGCCTGAAGCTTTGCAAAAAGATCTTTAGTTGGTGTGGATGCACCGCTTCTGTTATTGGCATGCAAGTCGCCTTTGAACCTTTATGAGTTAGAATTAGTGAGCGCCTTGTCCAGTGATGTCCACCAGACAGTTATTCCATGGAACTGCTCCACTACGTTACGTTGCCAGGTCAGGTTCTTTTAAAAATTATGCCCAAATATTTCACTGCATTTGAGAGGGACTTTGTTGAAAGTTGAAATAAGGGAATTTTAGTTTTCCATCTAAGTAGATACATATTTATGCGAGCCGAATACGGGACAAAAAATAATTTTGCTAATTTTTTTCCATAAAAGCTAACAGGTCTTAACACATTATTAAATGATCTTAGATATATGTATTAGTCCTGAAACAGCATCCTTTTAGTACGAAATCTTTCCGGAGAGTTTTACTCTACAAAATTTTTTAAAAAAGTTTTGGTAAATGTTAGTACGATAAAGTGCAAGCTTAAGTTGCTAGAACTTACCGCTAATTTTTGGCATTTTTTTTTTGCCGACGGCGCTACGCATTTTTTCTATACAAAGTTAATATGTTCGACAATTTATTGATAGGGAAGCAAATGAGCAGCACGTCGCACTTGCACTTTGTTATATTTAATTTTAATGAGCTATAAAACTGCAACCAAATTTTTTTTCTAAAGATTCTGATTAAAAAGTGTGAAATTTTGGTGAAAATTTGCAGAATTAATTCTCATAGTTTTTGCACAAAGTCGGAAATTTGAATTTATGTGGTTTTTGTTAGGAAAAGAGCTTTACTCAAAAAAAAAATAGTAAAATTAAATAAACAAAAGAAAAATAGCCGAACCATGCTAAAATGTGGAATCTTTATATATATTTTAGTCACTGTATGTGTTCCTTGATTCGAAGTACAGACATTCAGATTAGAAAATAATAACTGATAATGGAGAAAGGTACGATCATATTCCAACATCATTTAAAACTGGTTCATAGACATGCAATTTTAATGAGATTTGAAGGCGTCGAAATACTGAACCCCAAATACGGGAAAAATACAGGACATTAAAAGAAATACAGGACATTTGGCGTCCCGTATAAAATAAACTAAATTAATTGCCAGGACAACTGGTCAAAAAAGAGAACTGTCCCGTATAATACAGGACGGATGGTCACCGTAGATATAGCAGTTTTTACTGGAGTAATATTCTTTTAGAAAGGTGAACTTTTTTGTAGACGCTGCAAACAGAAGCAGAGCAGAGGGTGTTTCAAGGGGATTAATTATTGATTACCGACTTTAAGGGGGTGAAAGATTGTGATTTAAAGTCTAAACTGCAACAGAAATAATATAATTTTGCACCTAGGGGCCGATTATTTACGAATCTGTTTATAATTGGGCAAATATTGGTGCGTAAGAATGAGAAAAAACAAAAAGTGGTATCACTAGGAGCCATATTTTATTTATTTTTTTTTTCAAGTTTATTTTATAAACAAGAAAAATAATACATCGTTATTTGGTTTTCTAAGCAACGCTGTGTAGTACATAAGGGATTGTTCTTGAAAAAAGAAAATATTTTTCAGTTGGTTACGTAAAAATCCGCATCAAGTATTCAATTTGTCTTCTTTCTCACCGAATCGATTTCAGCGCCACCACCAACCGCGTAATTACTTATGTAACCATTTATCTCAATAAAACCTTCTCAGACACCTTAGATGCCCAGGAGGCCATTTCTGAAAAGCAGCTAATCTTTCAAATTAATCGCAGAACAAAACAATGCAAACATAACAGAGTAAAAACAATCAAAATACTTATGAAAAATCCCTTCCGCATAGCAAGTACACGAACTCCCGGTGGCATGAAGCAACATGCAACAAACATATGTGCATATATACATAGATACTATATTGTATACCTGTATGTATGTATATACTAAAATACTAAGTTTTTAAATACATATATGTATTATTATAAAACTCAGTATCTATGACACTTGTTGCAATCTAAATTTATGTAAACTTGTTGTTGGATATGCGAGTAAATATGTATGTATGTATGTACTCGTACGAGTATGCATGAATTACGCACAGCTGGATATGAACTTTTACAACTCTGTGTGTGTGCCGGTAATTGACTGCTGTCATCTACAAACAAAAGCAATGCATTCCGTTGGGAATGTGAATATTTGTATAATAATAACTATGTAATTAGATCAGGCTGGCGAGATTTTCACAGGCTCTGCCATTATGTAATTAATTACATGAACTCAAATGAGTAAACATACATACATACATATGTGTATATATTAGTACATATATTACTATTGTTGCAACATATGTTTGTGTGTATTGTAACTGAGCTTAAGTGCCATTAAAGACAAGCTGTGCGCATATTTACAAATGTTCCTACTGGGTAAGCCGACATTGACATGAGCGCTTCATAAATAAATTAATTATAATTAGCACATACATAATGTGGGCAGCATACATGCTTACATGTAGATACATAGCTACACAAATATATATGTATTTATATAAATAGTAAATGTATTATTTATGTGAAAATACTTAGTAATTATTTGCAGCCGACTGCTTAGGTTTCCATCAAAAAGATGCACTTGAATCTCTG